ACCTCCTCGTCGACCGCCCACCAGCGCTCCGGGGCTAAGTTGCGTTTCTTCTGTCTAACGGATCTGACTACAGGGTCAGTATTAAGTTTGTGAGTTATAAGGCTGGGGTCAATACCGGGCATGTCGGCCACGGACCAAGCAAAAATATCTAAATTTTGAAGTAAAAAACTCACCAGCTCGGTTCGTAGTGGTTCCTCGACGGAAGCACCGATATGTAGTGTGCGAGTTGGGTCTGTAGCCGAAGTCGGGCGAAGCTTGTTCCTCGCCTTGCTCTATAGTTCGCTCCAATTCAAGGTTGTCGGCCGCCTTGGTTTTTCCATTCTGGGCGGCAACATAACACTTGCGGGACTCAAGGTGGTCGCCCCGCGCTACCCCCACACCGAAGTCTGTAGGGAACTTCATYGCCAAATAGTAYGTGRAGACCACTGCCCRCAGGATATGCGTAATTGGCCGCCCTATTATGGCATTGTATGGGGAAGGGGTCGCGACCACTAGGAAATCATGGTTGAGTCTGACCGCACAAGTTCTTGTGCTGACTTCCACAGGTACTGTTATTTTTCCGAGGGGCCTGACTTCCTCTCCGCTGAAGCCTACCAGAGGAGCGTTCGCGGGCTTTAGCTCGCTCTTCTGCAACTGTAGCTGGTCAAATGCTTACTTGAAGAGGATGTCCACCGAGCTGCCCGAATCCACGAGTACGCGCCCGACCTCGAAGTCGCTGATCCTCGGTTTTATGACAAACGCGTCATCATGGGGGTAGTGGACCCCTCGCGCATCGTCTTCCGTGAAGAAGATCGGCTCTTCAGTCTTCGGTCTCTTTGGGGGGTTCTGTTCCTCTTGGGCTGCTTCGCGAACTGACGTCTGGGCTGCTACCGAAGTACACCCTGCTACCCCCGAACCTCCCGCTATTACATGGATGGTTCCCCGAACTGGCCTCTCTTCCGGAGGCTGTCATTGCAACGGTTCGGCTGGTCTGCTGCTAGATTTGGGGGCATCCTTTCCGTGCTCCCCTTTGTCGACCTGCCTTATTATTATTATTATTATCTTGCTGTAGAAAATTTCTCAAGTATCTGCGACGGATGAGTCCCTCTATCTCGTCCTGGAGATTATTACACTGTTCGGTACTATGACCGTGGTTTCTATGGAAACTACAATACAAATTTTTATTTATCTCGTTCGGATTACCCTTTAGGCGAGGTGGCCACTTTACGTATGGGGCGTCCTTGATCGTCATCAAGATCTCGGTCCGCCTCGTGTTTAACGGTGTGTAATCTATCCAAACTGCTAAGGGAGCTCGGAACGACTGGTTCGGCTTCGGCTCCTGGGCCGGGTTTTTTCTGTCGACTGGGTTGGAGGGCTCGCCTTCCCTCTTTCTTTTCTCGTTCCCGCTTTCGGTCCGTTGG